ATGATGAGGATGCACTGAAATTAGTATATCAGGAAGGCTTACTAACTACTGGAGAGACAAAACTGGCCTACAAGAAAGACCAAATGAAGAACAGAATAGAGGCATGGGAAGACAAAGCACTACATGGCCAATACATGAAAAAAAATAGCTGGGAAAGCAGATAATAACAAGACCTGGCAATGGCTAAGAGCAGGAAAATTGAAGAAAGAGACCGAGGGACTAATTCTCGGCTGCACAAGACCAAGCCTTAAGGACAAATGCATACAAAGTCAAATATTGAGAAGGACAGCAACAGACAGTAAGCTGCCGCCTATGCAAAGAAGCTGAAGAACACAGTGGACCACTTGGTAAGCTGTTGCAAGAAGATGCACAACACTGATTACAAGCAGCTGATGACTAATTAGTAGCAACAATGGTGAATTTGAAGATCTGCAAAAAATATCATTTGCCTGTAAGCAAAAACTGGTGGGATCATAAAATAGAGAAAGTCATAGAAAATGATAAAATTAAACTGCTCTGGGACTTCAGAATTCAAACAGACAAGCACCTGCAACATAACACCCCCGACTTAACAATTGTCGATAAGAAAGACAAAAAAGTCTGGATAGTGGACGTGGCAGTGCCTGGAGACAGCAGAATAGAAGAGAAAGAACTGGAGAAGATAACAAAATACAAAGACCTACAAATAGAAATAGAAAGACTGTGGCAAAAGCAAGCAAGGGTAGTACCAATAGGCTCCTTGGGTGTCATAGCACCACTTGAACACCATTGGCATTGACAAATTCGCTATTAGTCAATTGCAAAAGGCGGCCTTACTAGGAACTGCTTCCATCCTGCGACGATATCTGTAATACCATCAAACATCCACATCTGCCTATCCCAGGTCCTGGGTAAGGACTCGATAGGTAGACAAAATGCCAAATCCAGTCTGAACATCTGGCTGACTGTGCGATGATCGATAATAATAATAATGTTGGAAGAGACCATGGAGGTCATCTAGTCCAGCCCCCTGCTCAGGCAGGAAACCCTATATCATTTCGGACAAATAGCTGTCTAGTCTCTTCTTAAAAACTTCCAGTATTGGAGCATTCAATGCTTCTGGAGGCAGGTTGTTCCACTGGTTAATTGTTCTAACAGTCAGGAAGTTTCTCCTTAGTTCTAGGTTGCTTCTCTCCTTGATTAGTTTCCATCCGTTGCTTCTTGTCCTGCTTTCAAGCGCTTTGGAAAATAGCTTGACTCCCTCTTCTTTGTGGCAGCCCCTGAGATATTGGAACACTGCTATCATATCACCCCTAGTCCTTTTTTTCATTAAACTAGACATACCCAATTCCAGCAACCGCTCCTTATATGTTTTAGCCCCCAGTCCCCTAATCATCTTTGTTGCTCTTCTCTGTACTCTTTCTAGAGTCTCAACATCTTTTTTACATCGTGGTGACCAAAACTGGATGCAGTATTCCAAGTGTGGCCTTATCAAGGCATTGTAAAGTGGTATTAATACTCCACGTGATCTTGATTCTATCCCTGTTACTGCAGCCTAGCACTGTGTTGGCTTTTTTGGCAGCTGCAGCACACTGCTGGCTCATATTTAAGTGATTGTCCACTAGGATTCCAAGATCCCTCTCACAGTTACTGCTGTTGAGCAAGGTACCCCCTATACTATACCTGTACATTTGGTTTTTCTTGACTAAATGTAGAACCTTACTTTTTTCACCATTGAATTTCATTTTGTTAGATAGTGCCCAGTGTTCAAGTCTGTCCAGATTCTCCTGTATCTTAAGCTTGTCTTCTGGATGTTGGCTATTCCTGCCAGCTTGGTGTTGTCTGCAAATTTGATGAGTTCCCCATCTATCCCCTCATCCAAATAGTTGATGAAGATGTTGAAGAGCACTGGGCCCAGAACAGAGCCCTGGGGCACCCCACTACACACTTCCCTCCATATAGATGCAGTTCCATTGAGGACCACTCGCTGAGTACGGCCGGTCAGCCAGCTACGGATCCATCTGGTGATGATTCTGTCTACCCCACATTTTTCTATCTTATCAAGTAGTAGGTTGTGATCTACTTTATCCAATGCCTTCCTGAAGTCCAAGTAAATTATATCCACAGCATTCCACCAATTTTGTCACTTGATCAAAGAATGCAATAAGATTTGTCTGACATGATCTGTTTTTGACAAACCCATGTTGGCTTTTAGTAATGACTTTGTTTGCCTCTAGGTGTTCGCTGATTTGTTGTTTGATTATCTTTTCCAGAATCTTCCCAGGTATTGAGGTCAGGCTAATAGGTCTGTAATTTCCTGGATCCATTTTTTCTCCTTTTTTGAAGATGGGAACTACATCAGCTCTTTTCCAGTCCTCTAGATGTTTCTCAGTGCTCCAGGATCTTTGAAAAATATAGTTCAGTGGTTCTGAGATCACATCTGCCAGTTCCATGAGAACCTTGGGCTGTAATCCATCTGGTCTTGGTGATTTGAACTCATCTAGGCTGGAAAGTTGCTCACTTACCATTTTCTTGCCTATCTTAACTTGTGTTTCTATTGTTTTTTATGGCACTGTTTTTGATAGGTTGGTCTGTTTTTTCTCTTTGTGTAAAGACAGATGCAAAAAACAAGTTAAATAGTTCTGCTTTCTCTCTGTTGCTTGTGACCTTCTTGCCACTTTCACTTACTAATGAACCAATCATTTCCTTTCAGTTAAGTCCGTGGTTCTCAACCTTTTTAATGCCGCGACCCCCAACCGGTCGTAAGTTGAGGACTACTCAACCGGTCGTAAGTCGAGGACTACTCAACTGGTGCAGCACCGTTTGCAGAATGGGACTTTTGCGGGCTCAGCAGGGCAGAGACAGCCTGCACAATTCCTATTGGCTTTTGAAAGCCAATAGAATTAGACTCTATTCAAGAGAGTCTATTCTATTGGCTTTCAAAAGCCAATAGAATAAAAGGGAGTAGCACAGCTAAGGAAAAGGGGAAAAAATGGCGGACTGCGTTGTTTGGCGACCCCTGTGAAATGGTCGTTTGACCCCAAATAGGGTCCCGACCCACAGGTTGAGAACTACTGAGTTAAATGGTAACTTCAACCACAAACTGAATGCTAAGAGAAAAACAGGAAGAAATATCTCAAAAAATGAAATGACTGACAGGAGAGAAGGAGATATTGGAAAGCAGACACTGTATACTATAAACTCATTTTGTGTTTCAGAATACAATTACTTGGAATATACAGTGCAATATGAAATTCGTATTTTACATTAAAACAGGTCTATAAAAATCTCTATATGCGTGATACATACAAAGGCCACCTTAAAAGATAGAGCATTCAGTACCAAGGATGTCATTTCAATTCATTTTCAAAGTTATTACAAATCAGTATTGATCTGCATGAGATATCTTGACACAAAATTTTCTATGAGCACAAACTTGTCATACAACTATATGTAAATGAAGATAAAGAAGATAAAGCTATGGCATCATTTGGCAGCCTATTTCAGTGGGAAGTAAATAGTATCCTCCCAATGATCAAAGCTATAACTTGAAGCCAGGACTGTAGTTGGCATGGAAAATATGTGGGCTACAAGTACTCCATGTCTAATGACCTTTCATTTAAAGATCATTTGAAGTTATGAGAACACTAAAAAGAAGGACATATGATTGGTCCTAACATTTATTATTTTTTTACAAATTTTATTAAATGTACATTTTAAAAACAAAAATGGACATGATTCAACTTCTCTGGCTTCAACAGTGCTATTAGTATTACCTTATGTTACAGGAAAAAAAAACCAGAAACTTAAAATATATTCTTTAACAGGATAGAGTATAACAAAGTGTGCATATAACATCTGTAAAATTTTTGATAAACCATCATTCAATCATCAACATTGTATTTACATTATCTTTCAGTTGTGCCCTAATATAGGTACTAATAAGAAGTCCTTATGATATCAACTAGTCAATCGATAATCATCTCAGCGATCCTCCTTATCTCTAACCAATCATACAAATTTTTCCAAATTTCATAATCTCTGTTTCAGTTTTATTTTTCATCTCTAGAGTTAACCTGTCCATTTCAGCACAGGATAAAATTTTATTTATTATTTCTTCCTCAGTGGGGGTTTCCTTTCCTTTCCATTTTTGGACGTATGGATTGGTCCTAACATTTACAACAGTTGCAGTGTCCCCATGATCAAAATTCGGGCATCTGACAACTATCATGTACTGCAACCATTCCAGGGGCCTTTTGATAACCAAATCTGGATTTGCTTAATTTTCATGTGATTTGCTTAATGACCATTGCAAAAAGGTTGTAAAATCAGGTGCAATTCATTTAACACACGCATCACTTAGCAACAAAACCTCTGGTCCCAAGTTTGATTATACGTCAAGGGCTACATGTATATCCTTGAAAGCGGAGGTTACAAAGACATTATGTTTGCCAACAAAAGAGAAAAGGGCTGTTAACATTTTGCTGAAATCTGTCTGAGAATAATCCATGTTTGTGCTTTTCCATTAGAAACATCTCAACATTTGGCAAGGCTTACAATCGTTAGGAACCTGCTGGGGACAAATATATATTGACTGGAAAAACAAGGAGCACATGAATTATTTGTTACATAAGATAATCTGAACTACCACAATTACCTATCCCACAAAGACATATATTTTTATGCAGAGATAGCAAATTAGTTCTATCTTAGAATCATCTTAAACTTGAAATATAGTCAGATGATCAAAAATCATAAAGAAAAGAAAAAAAAAAGAAATGATTTGAGGTTACAAAGTAAAGATCCACAGGAATTTTTTTTAAGATGAACAGTTTAATCAGTTCAACCATCTAATTGGTGAATGTATACAATAGTTTGTCTACAATGTTTAAGAAATACACTGGAGGTTTTAGATGGTTAAACTTCATCATACCCTTTAGCTTTCAGAATGACATCTACTCAAATCTGATGGATGAGAAAATCTGCATATACACAAATATTTAAAACAATATTTTACTTACCTTCCTAAGAACTGAACTTCCCCTCTATGATGATGGGGAATTGACTTGTATTTCCCTGTATCTCCTTCTGGTCGAGTAACCAAATAGCCTGCATAGTGAACCCTGGAGGAGAAAACGAGTCATTAAACTGCTTTGAATTTAGTATTTGCCAACACTAATCATTTGAGCAAACATCATATCAACATTATTCATAAGCAAGCATCTCAACATATCTCCTAAATTAGCTTATTTATACAATTTTTCATTTGAATTAGTTGTGTGGTAACCTATTATTATATTCCAGGTAGAAAATGGAATAAGCTGTTTATATACTGATAACTATGAAGCTAAGGGGCACAACCGTAATGAGTATGGTTATTATGGACTTGTAAAAACAGCTTTATCTAATAGAGTAAATTAACTATACCCAGGAAATAAACAGTACTTCATGGGTCAACTTAAATTATAAAAGTGGAAGATGAAGCAGATTTGTTTACTTTTATTATTTATTTATTAAATATATGCCACCCATCTTGCCTAGAGGCGAATCTAGGCAGCTTACAATAAATAAAAGCAACAATATGAAACATTAAAACAATAAATGGTAACATTAAATTGATTTAAAATTAACAAAGATGGGAAGGAAAAGTAACTTTGCATCAGTGATAATGACATGGCTATGGAGATGGACATTGTCTAGATGTTATCTTGTAAGACTGACAGCTGCCAAAACAGAGCTGAATAGCATAAAGAGAAAATAGGACAGACTTTCAGGCAGTTGAGTATTGCTATGATGAGTATATAATGCAAGATGTAACCAAGGATACAAATTTTCCAAAAAGACTGACAAAAGTCACTCCTTTTTCATTTTATATTGCAATTCTTTTTGTTCAGAAGTCTTGTAGAATCTGAAACTAAATCATGGAGCCCTGTCAATTGGAGTTTACATGCAAACCATCCTCTCCATCCCTGTAACGCACCTGTTCCAAAGATCGTCATCCTCTCCACCCCAGCCCCAGAACGCATTTGCAAAGCCGTTGATTTTTTTGAACTGTTCCACAGTCAAGCCACTCACTCCACCAAAAAATTCAGCATATGGAAGGCTACAGATACATGAAAATAAAAATGTCAGTCAAGTTTGAAATGAATAGTTTTTAGTGGTCACAGAAAATATGTTGTTGTAGCATGTCTCAATTAGTTTTAGTTACAGTAGTATCTGCTTCTAATTAATTTTCTACTTTTAGCATTAAACTCACTAGGAAATTAAACTTACTTACATATACATGTACTTATCCAACTTAGCAGCAAAATGTCTTGGCATCTGTCCACACCCATAATAGTTACGATCATTCTCAGGTATATGGTCCACATCGTGAAAGATCAAACAGTCCCAGTCCAAGTCCTTCATAGCTTCCCAAAAGCCAACATTAAAGAGCATAGCACGATTAAAGGGCTGATTCCCTGCCTAGAAGAGAAGCCCAATATATAAAAAAAATAACATTTACTTTCAGTCATACAACAACGTGAGTTCCAATACTTGAAGTCGATGAATAGGTACGCTTAGTTGCTTTATATCCTACAGTATATAACTTTCCTTTTTCAAAGACATGGCAATCGAATGAAACACAAAATTTTCTTAGGCAAAATACGAAAGAAAAATTTTGTGTTTCATTCGATTGCTATTTCTGACATATCAGCAGATTAAGGTCTATAAATAGGCGTTTGAGGGTTAGGAACCACCATAAAGCCTAAATACAAATACCAAAAAAAAGACAAACACTATTGCCAGGCTAATTCTTGATAGATAGGAGTTTAACATATGCCTAGTGATGCCATGCTCATCTAGATAGAAAGGCTGAATTTGATTAACACATAAATATAAATGCAATGCAAAATTTATACATCACTATTGTCCTGTGATAGCCCAACCTACTTTGTACAAGAATACAAGCATAAGAATCCCACTTCTTAGTTGGATCTTACACAAATGTGTTATAGAAAATTGTACCAAAAAAGAAAAAAAAGCAAACATGCAAACACTGTAAGAGTTTCATCAAGGAGAAGTGTAGCAATTTAAATCTGTTTGGGGAGCTACTAATCTCTCTTCAGTTTCATACAAAGTTGAACCAATTATCGGGGTATATTGAGTCAATTAAAGCTATACGTGTTAGGAAGTACCAAAATTTTGATTTAGTCTTAGGTTTTAATTACAAATCAACAATCAAAACACACACACCCTCTTGGAAGACTTGCATAACTTAAAATTTGAAACAACACTCTGAACATCAGAGATATAATATTGTTGAGCAAAAACCCTATGAATATATCTTTCTTATAGGATTTTTAGAGCCCTGGTGGCACAGTGGTTAGAATGTAGTATTGCAGGCAAACTCTGCCCACAGTCTAGAGTTTGATCTTGAACTCAAGATTGACTTAGTCTTTCATTCTTCCAAAGTTGGTAAAATGAGGATGCGGATTATTGGGGGCAATATGTTTACTCTGTAAACCGCTTAGAGAGGGCTGTAAAACACTGTGAAGCGATATATAAGTCTAAGTGCTTTTGCTATTATACAACAGATCAGCATTTCTCCATCATTAGATCCTTAAAAGTTTCATTTTATAAGTTCAAGTGAAACACTTCCTTGAAGATGTTTTATAAAGCAATATGGTCTCCTTGCTTCTAAAAATGAAATGTATACATCGTTTCATTTCTCTCCTGAGGCATCCTCCAGCAGTTCCAGTAACAGAAGGAATATTTTATATTTGCACTCTGCATGGGTAGACGTTTCTGGTTAGGGGTACAGCCAGCCCTCATTAAAAGAATTACTTCAGTATTTGACTTGATGAGAAAATGTTATCAAAACAAACTTGTCTTCACAAATCTAGAAATTAATCTTGAAAACAAAAACAGTACATGCAAACTTACTTGCTCAATGACATAAAATGCAAATTGCAAACGTTGGCGTTGCAGCATTGGAATAAGATGTCTAAAGAGAACCGGCAAATGTTCAAAACGATTGCGGAATGGAATAAGAATAGCCACCTACAAGGAGAAAGATCATTAGCTCTTCTAAGATCTTGCAAGCAACCTAAGCTATCAATACCAGATAAGCAAAGATATAAACCTCACTTGGACATTATTTTTGTAAGTAAAATCCTTAAATCTGTAAGAGTAGGTAACTAGCTTGCCTAAATATTCTATTTTTGCAAAATTATGTTCCAATACATTACAATAAAACTCAATTTATTTTAGCCTAATAAGATTACAGAGATAAAACACATGATTTAGACTTCTGGTTTAGAGGTTAAATGGGCTCATTATTTCAGTTCTTGTAAACAAACCTCATTGCTTGCTAATACTAAATATTAGTTTATAATTAATAACATTTATAGCGGTGGCTTCAGATTTGGTTCTTGAGCTTTCATTACATTAAAATATCATATTGAATTCCAGTTCTTCAAGACAGATCCCTAATTTTATTTTTAACATTCCTAGGATCAGTTCTTCAAATGAGACACGCAATGCAGGGGAATCTTCCACGGGAAGAACGAGAGAGATTCATTAGGTTGGCAAACCAGGGCCTCTGTGGCCAGTATTGGGCCATGAGGATCACTTCTGCCTGCTCCTGGAGCAGTTTGCAGATGGTCGTTGGGATGAGCGGGAGGGGGGAAAGGCGTAAAGTAGGCCCTCCGGCCACGGAGTCCGCAAGGCGTCTGTCCCCTCCGCCCCTGGGAAGTAATAGCGGGAGAAGTACCTGGGGAGTTGGGAATTGCTCGATGATGCGAATAGGTCGATGACCGGTTGGCCGAACCTTTGGGATATCTCTGAGAAAAGATCCGGATGTAGGCCCCATTCCGAGGGATCTACAGTAGAGCGACTCAGAAAGTCTGCCTGCCCCGAGATGTGCTCAGCCCTGAGGGAAGCCAGGTTGGATTCTGCCCAGGATCCCAGAAACCGAGCCTCGGACATGAGGGACCTGAACCTGGTGCCCACCTGCTGGTTCACGTGGGCCTTGGAAACCACGTTGTCTGTAAGGACTAATACGTGATGGCCTCTGATCCGGTGGTGGAAGTAGCGAAGAGCTAAGTGAATGGCCCTGAGTTCCAGCCAGTTGATGTTGTGTCTCAAGTCTGCGCGGGACCAACGGCCCTGCGCAAACTGAGACTGTAGGTGTGCTCCCCAGCCGAACAGGCTGGTGTCTGTCATGATTGTGAGGCAGTCGGGCTCCTTGAAAGGTGACCCCTTGGTAACCGCCTGTGAGAACCATCAGCAAACGGACCTCAGGGTTTGGACTGGGAGCCTCACCTGCCGGCTGGATGTGCTGGCGTTCAACTGCTGGAACGGTAGAAGGAACCACTGGAGATCCCGCAAGTGGAGTACGGCCCAGGGAACTATGGCTATGTAGGAGACCATTTTTCCTAGTAGTTGAGAGAGCAAGACCAGTGAGATGGTGCGGTCCTTGTACACTCAGTGAGCTAGGTCGCTGATGCTGTCCAACCGCTCCTGGGAAAGGTAGACCATACAGTTTGTGGTGTCTATGATGGCTCCCAGATGCAGAAGTCTGGATGAGGGAACCATCTGGCTTTTCCAAAAGTTCACTGAGAACCCGTGCTGTTGGAGGACCTGAATTGACTGGGCCGCCTGGAAGGAGGATGCTTGGATCAAGATGTCGTCCAGGTAGCACTGAACGCGTACCGGAACCTTCTGTAGATGGATGGCCAGCACAGCCAGGATCTTGGTGAGCACCCTGGGCCCCGAGAGGCCAAACAGGAGGACCCTGTATTGGAAGTGATGGCCCCTGTAACAGAACCTGAGGAACCGCTGGTGATCTGGAAGGATGGGGATGTGGAGATACGCTTCTGTGAGGTCTATGGATGCCAGGAAGTCTCCATGTCTGATGCCTCCCAGGATGGACTGGAGTGATTGCATCTTGAATTTTTTGTATGCAATGTAATAATTCAGACCTTTGAGGTCTAGAATTGCCCTCCATCCCCCCCGAGGCTTTGGGAACCATGAAAAGGATGGAGTAGAATCCCCTTCCCTTGTGATCCGGCGGTACCGGTTCTATGGCCTGTATTTCCAAAAGATGATGAATAGCCTCCTTCATAAGCCCCCGCTTGATCGAATCCTGAGATGTGGGGCAGGTGATGAAATGACCCGGGAGACTGGCCAGAAATTCTAGAGACAGGCCAAACTGGATTGTTTGCAAGATCCATCTGTGGTTGTGAGTTCCCACTGATGGAAGAAGTGGGCTAGTCTGCCCCCTATGGGAAGTGCGACATGGGAGTCACTTGGACCTCCTGTAGGGGCGCCCTGCTCCTCAAAATGGCCGTTTGCTCTGGTTTTGCTGCCTGGGCTGGAAGCTCGTCCTATCATATGGACGGTCCTGCCTGGGCGTAAAAGGCCGGGAGGGTTGGGCGGCTCCCTGGGTCGATGCTGGCCGAAAGTACTGCCTACGGGAATAAGGAGTGGGTCATTTGTCGGGCCGCTTGGTAAGGTGAGTCATGACTTTCTGCTTGTCCTTGTTTTCCACAAGGTACGGATTCAAGGGCTCCCCAAAGAGGTGGTTGCCTTAGTAGGGGGCAGTTGTGAGACGCCATTTGGCCTTGGCGTCGGCCAGCCAGTGCTTGAGCCGTAGCATTCTCCTTGCTGTAACGTTGGAAGCTAAGGACCTGGAAGCAACGTTGGCCAACTGTAAAGTTGCATCTGATGCATACTCTGTCACCGCAACCATTTTGCTTAGGTCCTGATGGGTCCGAATGTCCTCGGGGGGAGTCTGGCCTGAAGCTGACAAAGCCATAGGAGGGTGGTTCAGACAAAAAAGGACACGCAAATGGCCATTTTAATTGCCTACGCAGCCAATTGATGGGTCTTTCGGAAAATTAAGCCCCATTTTCTGTCCTCTGCTTTAAGCGCCTCAGCCATATCCCCGGAAACTGCAGTCTCGGACACGAGAGGGGTCCAGGCTTCGTCCACCTTTGGTACCTCCAGGGCCTTGGTTAGGTCTGTAGAGGTACTAAATATCTTTTTGTTGTTCCACCTATGAAGGGGAAAGATGATGGGGAAACCCATTGTTTCTTAACCCCTTTAAGAAATATAAAAGGACAGGGAACATGGTGCTGGGTTGCCACAGTTTCGAAGAAAACCGGATTTGGGCTCCCATCGAATGTGGCTTGAGGCTGAGGGAACTGATCGGACCCTATGTTGACCATCATGATGGCTTTGCGAAGCAAGGGAATAAATAGAACTGAATTAAATAGGCCTCCTGATGGGGAGGAGTCTGGGGGAAGCTCTTCCTCCTCTGACAAGTTGAAATCCAGCTGGTCACCTCCCGTCGGGGACAAGTAGCCAGTGATTGAGGAACGGGCAGGAGACGTGGGTTCCTGATATATGGGAATCCCTGCTGGAGGGACATAAGGTGAAATAACAGAGGTAGAAGCCTCCTGTCCAGGCAGGTGGTAAGACCGTGCCACGAGTGCACAGTCTGCAACCTTAGAGAGCAGGACTTCAAGGCAGCCATCAGAGAAAATGTCCCCGAGTTCTGATCCCCTGAGTCCAGCACCTGTTGGCGTGAAGGTGGCCTCGGGGGCCGAGTCTGATGGAAGCGTAGGAGGGCTGATAGCCATGTCCTGAGCTGCCACTGAAGAGGGACGATGTGTGGCGGGGGTTTCCACCAATGACCACACACCCTGAGCGGAGGCCGAAGGACCTATAGGGAGGTCGAATTCAGGGACCGCCAATTGATCCGTCTGTGTTCTGGCCTGTATTTGCGCTCTGGAGAACTCCTTCTCCAGAGCCTGGTGCCTACGGCTGGCTTGCTTCTCTGCCAACTTGGAAGGCTTTTTGAGGCCTTGTTCTTGAGCTTGCCTGCTGTCTCCTGTTTGGAGGTTTTGTGCCGGCCGAATCTTGAGGACGGGGAGGCAGTGCTCATGGGTTGAGGTACCGTGGAATCCTCTATCCTGGGTCGAGCTATCTCAGGGAACCTGAGGGGGAGTTCTGGCAGGCAAGCAGTTGGTGGGAAGAGTAATTGGAGCAAGTAATATGGACTGATCCCCTGACCAGTAATGTCTCTCTGGGGCTTGGGTCACGCCTGTGAAGGTAAAGTCGAAGGCATGGTTGGGACCCGCTATGGGCTCTGCCCGGAGGCCTTAGGTGGCCAGTCAAGGTGCACCAGAAAGCCCAATGAAGGACGCAGAGGACCTGAAGGGAAGGCCTGGCAGAGGAGCTGTTAAAAGAAGGTTCACTCACAAGCTCAAAATGGCGGCCTTGGATCAAAATGGTGGCCTGAGTAAATTGGGACAAGGCTGGTATCAGCGGGCTGAGAATGGCCAAGCACCCCTCTACTCCAGCTGAAGACTGCAGAAGCACTGAGAAGCTTAATTACTGGCAGCCCTAAGAAGCAATGATCCGCGCAGGGAGAGAAAAAAAGGGTCTGCAACTGCAGTCAGGCTGTCAGTGAATGAAATTGGATGATCGGCTGTAAAAGGGAACCGTGTGGCGCAGCCAAAATGGCAGCTGCTCCGAACGCTTGGAGGGGTCCCTGGGGAAGTCCAGAACTCTGCGGTAGAGCCAAGAGCCCTTCCGCCAACTGAAATTTGAAGACAGGTAGAATTTGGACAGGATCCCCTTTAAAGGGCAAACGGCTCAGTTTTAATCTTCGGTGCCTTCGGCGGCACCCAAAATGGCGGCTGCAACTTGACGGGTGTTGGGGAAGCTGTCTGAAATCTCGTGGAATCGTTTGGCACAAACTTAGGAGGTCGGAGCAGCAGTGCTGAGCGCTGCGCGAGGAATCCCACAAGTGAGGGGGGATGGGAGGGAAATCACCCAGAGCCCTGGGGAAGGAGAGATGGAACAGTCACTCCCCCCAACCAAGCCCCAGATTGGACAATCTGAGGCAGCACTGATCCCAACGCTTCTGGAGGAGAGTTGGGGTGAGGAGAGGAGCAAAGGAATCCACTAATCTGAGATGAAATTAAATGAGGGAAAGGAGAATCCAACAATGGAAATCTATCTGCTAGCTAAGTAATTAGAGTATCTTGAAATCAGACAGCCAAACCTGACACGTCTTCAAGAGCTTGAGACCAAGTCAAGACTGGGATCTCCTAGCAACAGGGGGTGTGTCAAGCTTGGCTAACTTGGTCTCAAGAGCAGGCAGACATAGAACACCCATTGGTGGATTCTCCATCTCCTGTGCTGGAGAAACTTGGGTTTTCAAAATTATAGCGTATATGCATAATTCGTTGCCGTTATTTAGAAATTTTGTAAGGGGTGCGAGAATATATCAGAAACATTCCGGAGATACGGGGTATAGAAAAGGTTGGAATACAATATAACATCTACCAAATTTTTTAGAAAACTCTTGAATTATAAGGCCAGCAGGTTCTATAAAAAGCATTTCAAAAGAAAAATTTAGCACACAACAAACTCAGGATTCAAGATGGTATATAGCATTATTGTTTTCAGCATTCCCCTTCTGTAGCTTACTTTCCAGCGAGGCAAGCAGTCACTAGGCTTCCAATGACCTCCTAATTTGATAGTAGGGTCTTGAGAGAAAAACTGGTGGATCTCATCCATACTGATTTCACTCATATTTACATCAGTTGGCCCCTCTATGTACGTAAATAGCAGAAAATGAGAAGTGGCAATCACAGCCATAAGAACATGTTTTGCAAATATCTCATCATATTATGCATTTTGCTGATATACCACTGTTATTGCTATCTTGCAATCAATTGTAATTTTCAGAATTAACTCCCCCTTTATTATTTTAAACATTACTTTCTGAGCAAAGTACTAAGCCAATAAATTTATTTAAAGCTACAGATTTAGAAGAATAAACAAATGAAAACTGCTACTTCCAAATGCATAACATATAACAATATCACACTCTTACTGTACTGCTGAGCATGAAGAAAGGAAGCACATAAGCTCCACATAAAACAAATATCTGGATTTGCCAAACTTGCTGGAGGGCAATTGCTACTTATGATAGGTGACAAATAATTTTAATGGGCCTCATTATGCTTCACTGATATAATCACACTCATCAATCAAGACAGCTTATTCCCAAATTTAGAGCACAGAAACTCAGTAAACACTGTTAAAACATGAATCTTTCAAATATATGCACTTATAATGCTTCATTGGATATACCAGCGTTTAGAAACAGTAGATGGAACTCAACATTTTAGGATAATCCTGTTTAACATTCGGGTATTATAGGCAGTCCTATAATGCTTCGGGTATTATAGGCAATCCTCACTTAAGGATGGTAACTGGGACTGGAATTTCTGTCGCTAAGCAATGCGGCACATAGAGCAACAACACATAACTGTACTGCTAAACAATGGAAATTCTAGCACTTTTGATTGCTACGGTTGAGCAAATCCAGTGCCAGTGTTAAATGGAAAGACACATGGCAGCCATTTGCAGGTCTCCCGATTGACTTTGCTTGTAGAAAGCCAGAGGAGGATGTTTCAAATGGGGATCACATGACTGCAGGAACATTAATCATCATAAATAATGAGGGCCAGCTGTATGTGTCTACCTGTCATGGCTGAAATGTTATGGCTTGAACCTTGACATAATTTTGAACGTTCATTAATGAGTAGATATTAAGCTCAAATGACCTATATTTTTTAGGTGTTCCTGAACCACCTCTAAGAACGTCCATGTGTCTATGGAGAATAATAAAATGTTTTTGTTGACTATAAACTACCTTTAAATATGACAGTAGTTCCAATCTATACATGATAAATAAGGTGGTAAAAGGTCTCTATTTCTCTCCCATCCTATAATTGAAAAAATCTGAACATGAATGAAATAAGCAGATTTTATTTAATAAACAAAATAATATCTGGACCATGTAAAGCAGACATGTCAAATTCACAACTTCACGTGACATTGCACGATGTATCGGAGCTTTTTCGCCATTGCTGGCAATGGGGTGGGCACGGCTCCGGTATGATAAAACCGGCCCATGGGCCGGCAGTTTGACACCCCTGATGTAAAGCCATGAAGGGATGCTTCATTCAAGGAATATTTAATGGAACATCCTCTTTGCATCTGTTTTGCTAAGCAATATTCCCTGCCCTCTTACTATAAACAAAATAGTTATCTTTCTTCACTTGACGCCAATTCGATGGCTTATCTAGCATTTCAATAAGTTGCTTCTGTACATTCTGAAAGTATTGGATGAAGTTTTGATGTAATATAAAGCAATTCAAGGAAGTAAGCAGCAATTTCCTTTATAATATAAACTTAGTTCAGCAATCTACTTATTACATGAATAATTAATTCTAAGTTGTACAAATTGAATTCAGAAATCAGTTGTACAAACTGAATTCGGAAAACATTAAAATATATGGAGCAACACTGAAATAAATAAAGTTTCAAACAATTTATTTCTGGTTGGAATATGACTTTACATATGTTAAGCATACAACTGGAAAGGGAAAGGGTGATTATGTAAATTGTAACAAAACTTACTCATAGAAGGGAGCCTCTCAGGGCAAGTATGATTTGGAAAATAAGTAAAATCTTCAGGAAGGAAAGTTGTTGTTTGCAGAAAGTTTTCACTGTGATTCAAATCAAAAGGATAATCTGATGGAAGAGTAAGAAAATAAGACTGCTACTCAAAATTATTTTATTACTTTCTATTGCTAGCCAAGTCATTAGGTTTATTTCTTAATATCTTTAGTATTATACAACACAAACAATAACTTTCATGATTTCATCATTAGGAAATGAAATGTCCTCCCAAAGAAATAAAAGAAATTAAAAAATTAGTGCATTAAATATCTGTAAAGCCAGTAAAGGACACTGATAATTGTATCAATATATCATTCTGTTTATTTTATTCATTTAGGGAAATCCCAGTGTTTATTTTAGGATTTGCCATTTGCAATGCTATGCTCATATTTTATATATCAACAGTGCTATGAAAGCAACATTTGGATTTTTATTATGTAAAATGGAAAGCAGAAGCTGAGAGAAGGGGCGTTGGTCTTACCTGAACGCCTTTTCTCAGTACGGAGATGGATAATCCACGGATGGGTTTTCTCTGTCTGCCTGCTCTTGAGACCAAGTAGCCAAAGCTTGACACGCCCCCACTTCCTGTGGAGTCCATTCTTAACGAGGGCGAATTGGCTGATGAGTGACGAGGTATTGGCTCTCAGCTCCCTACTAGCGGCCTGCTGGCCTTGGGGTGGGTGTGGATTATCCATCTCCGTACTGAGAAAAGGCGTTCAGGTAAGACCAACGCCCCTTCTCCAGTACAGGAGATGGATAATCCACGGATGGGACATACCAAAGCCTCACTGTCCCAAGGAGTGGGAAACAGATAAGGCCGGTAGATTGATCTCTGAGACAACTTGCTGGAGGACCCTCCTACCAAAGGAGGCGTCCGCCGATGCAAAGCGGTCTATCTTGTAGTGTCGTATAAACGGGGAAGGCGAGGACCATGTCGCGGCCCTGCAAACTTCGATTGACGCCTGGGTAGCCCATGCCGCCGAAGTTGCAGCGCTTCGGGTGGAATGGGCTGTGAGATGACTTGGGGGCGGCAGGGATGATACATTGTAAGCTTCTGCGATACAGCTTCGGATCCACCTTCCAATGTTGCCCGCGGAAACTTTCCGCCCCAAGGTGCCCGCTTGGAAGGACACAAATAGGGCCTCCGATTTGCGGAAGGGTTCTGTACGCTTTATATAACGCCGCAAGGTTCTGCGGACGTCCAATGTATGCCACTGCCGCTCCCGGTCATGGGTTGGATTTGGACAGAAGTTTGGGAGAATTACTTCCTGTGTCCTGTGAGAGAGTGAATTCACCTTCGGTATGAAGGCAGGATCTAACCTAAGGACCACCCTGTCCTTGTGGAAAATGCATAGGTCGTTTCTGACTGACAGTGCGGCCAGTTCCGAAATTCGTCTGTCCGATGTGATGGCAATCAGGAACGCCACCTTTAGCGACAGGTGTCGCAAGGAAACGGTTGCCAATGGTACAAATGGTGACCGAGTGAGTGCGTGAAGGACTCGCGGTAGTTCCCAGGACGGGTACCTGTGAATTACTGGAGGTCTGGTGTTATAGGCGCCCTTGATACAGGCGCGGATCCTGGGGTGGTGAGCTAAGGGAACCGAATCCGTGCAGGTGAGGAGGGTGGACAAGGCCGCCACTTGCCTGCGGATGGTCGCGGGGGCGAGGCCTCTGTCTAGTCCCTCCAAGAGGTAATCTACTATCTGAGGGATGTAGAGTTTGTGTAAGTCAAACTGCCGTTCCCTGCACCAAAGGCCAAAATTTTTCCAAGTGGAGTCATAAATGCGGTTTGTTGCCGGACGGCGTGAAGCTTGAATTATGGTAATGGCCCCGGGAGAGAATAGTTCCTGTGCCATTATCCGGCGCTCAAGTGCCAGGCGGTCAGTTGTAACCATTGGGGTTCCGGGTGACTGATGGTTCCCTGGTGTAGGGACACTTGATGAGGGGGAATGTTCCATGGGGGCGACTGAGACAGGTTCATCAGGTCGGCGACCCACGGTCTCTGTGGCCAATATGGTGCTACTAGGATCACTTCTGCCCGCTCCTGAATCAGCTTTCGGATGACCGCCGGTATGAGTGGTAGTGGGGGAAAGGCATAAAGCAGACCCTGAGGCCACTGAGTTCTCAGAGCGTCCGTCCCCTCTGCTCGCGGGTTGAAGTAACGAGAGTCAAATCTGGGGAGCTGGGCATTGTCTGATGATGCGAACAGATCGAGGATCGGGTACCCGAACTTGCGGGAGATGTCTAGGAACAAGTTCGGGTGTAGCCCCCACTCCGAAGGGTCCCCTGTGGTGCGGCTTAGGAAGTCCGCTTGCTGGTTGTTGACCCCCGATATGTGTTCCGCTTTTAGTGACTTCAGATTGGGCTCTACCCAGCTGAATAGGAGTCGTGACTCTGTCATCAGGGTTTTTGATCTGGTCCCCCCCTGCCGATTGAGGTGCGCCTTGGCTGCTACGTTGTCTGTTAGGACTAGAACGTGGTGGCCTCTGATTCTGTCTTTGAATTGTTGCAAGGCTAGGTGGATAGCCCTGAGTTCTAGCCAGTTGATGTTGTTTCTCAGATCCGTGGCGGACCAACGTCCCTGTACAAACCTGGAGTCCAGATGGGCTCCCCAACCATACAGACTGGCGTCTGTAGTGATGGTAACTCTGACTGGTTCCTTGAAGGGTGACCCCTTGGTCACGGCCCGAGAGCACCACCAGCTTAGCGCCCTGCGGATTTGTGCCGTGACCCTGACTAGGTGGTTGGATGCGCTGGTGTTCTGCCGTTGGTACGGGAGCAGAAACCACTGTAGTTCCCGTAGGTGGAGCCTGGCCCAGGGTACAATGGCTATGGCCGACACCATCTTGCCCAATAATTGGGAAAGTGTTAGTATCGGAACTGAACGTTGCCTGTGAACCCAGCGAGCCAGTTCCCTGATGCCGGCCACCCGGTCTTGGGAGAGATAGCCCATACAGTTGGTTGTGTCTATCATGGCCCCCAGATGCAGCAGCCTGGACGAGGGAACTGTCTGGCTCTTCTGAAAGTTTACTGAGAATCCGTGTAATTGAAGGACGCGAATGACGGTCCTTACGTCCGCCTGAGCTGTCTGTAGGGATGTTGCTTGGATTAGTATGTCGTCTAGGTAACATTGGACGCGTGTTGGGATTTTTCTCAGTTTGGCGGCTACCGCTGCTAGTATCTTGGTAAATACCCTGGGTGCCGAAGATAGACCGAAGGGGAGAGCTCTGTATTGGAAGTGTTTTCCCCCGTAACAGAAATGTAGGAACCGGCGGTGGTTTGGGTGGATGGGGATGTGAAGGTAGGCTTCCGTGAGGTCTATCGATGCCAGGAAGTCTCCTTCTCTGATTCTTCCCAGGATGGACTGAAGGGATTGCATCTTGAATTTTTTGTATGTGATGTAGCGGTTGAGGTTTTTTAGGTCCAGGATTGCCCTCCATCCTCCTGAAGTCTTTGGAACCACAAAGAGGATGGAGTAAAATCCTCTGCCTCTGTATTCTGCTGGGACCGGTTCTATTGCTTGAATGTCCAACAGGTGTTGGATGGCCTCCTGCATGAGTTTGCGTTTGGTGGGGTTCCTGGAGACCGAGCAGTTGATGAGTCGGTCTGGGGGTGTGATCAGGAACTCCAGGGACAGCCCGGACTGGATGGTTTGTAGTACCCAGTTGTCCGTGGAGGTCTGCTCCCACTGGTGGAAGAAGTGAGCTAGTCTTCCTCCAATGGGTAGGTCTATGTATGAGTCATTTTGTCTTCCGGTACGGACGACCCGTTCCACGAAAGGGTCGTCTCGACTGGTTTTGTTGTCTGGGCTGGAACCCCGGTCTGTCGTAGGGGCGGCCGTACGGTTTGTTCTGCCTGGGAGTGAATGGCTTGGGTGCCTGACTGATAGTCGTGGTTGTCGGTTGGCGAAAGGACTGCCTACGAAAGTAAGGTGTGGTACGTTTGTCTGACCTTTTGTTCAAGTGTGCCATGACCTTCCGCTTGTCTTTGTTTTCTACAAGATAGGGGTCCAAGGCCTCCCCAAACAGACCGTTGCTTGAGTAAGGGGCGGTCGCTAGCCGCCACTTAGCCTTGGTGTCAGCTTGCCAGTGTTTTAGCCATAGCATTCTCCTTGCAATTATGTTGGATGCTATGGATCTGGATGAAAAAATGGCCGATTGGAACGTTGCGTCTGCAGCGTATTCCGTGGCTGCTACCATCTTAGCCAGGTCCTGGTGTGTTCGTATGTCCTCCATAGGAACTATGGTTTGTAGTTGTTGCAACCAGATGAGGGTGGCCCGGACAAAAAAGTAGGCCGAGGTGGCTGCTTTGATGGCCCATGCCGCTGTCTGGTGGGTTTTGCGAAAGGCTTGTTCCCACTTTTTGTCATCTGCCTTAAGGGCCTCCACTAGGTCCCCAGCCATGGCTGTCTGGGAGACCAAGGGGGTCCAGGCTCATCTACTTTAGGAATTTCTAAGGCCTCATTGAGGTCTGTGGCAGTGCTGTATAATTTTTTGTCCGTACCACTCACTGATGGGAAGGAAGCGGGAGAGTCCCATGGCTTCTTGATCCCTTTCAGGAAAATGGCGGGGCAAGGTATATGGTGTTGCGTTGTCACCTTTTCTACGAATACGGGTCTGGATGTGGTGGCCGGTGTCGCTTGCGGCTGAGAAAACTGATCCGTTCCCATGTCCGCAATGGCTGTGGCCTTGCGTAGTATCGTGAGGAAGCGGTTGGGATTAAATAATCCCCTGAGGGGGGCTCAGGGGGAAGTTCCTCATCCTCTGACATAGAGATCCCAGGTTGATCCTCCTCTTGTGGTGAAGAATAACCACTCATGGAGGACTGGGCCGGGGAGACGGGTTCCTGAATGCCTGAGGACTCTGAGGGGAGTTCCGAGTGTGGCATGGCTGAGATGGAGGGCCCCTGGTCGTGGTGGGCGGAGCGCTGTGCTAGGGCTCTGTCCACCACTTTGGTTAATAGGGCCTCTAGCCGTCCATCTGCCCAGATGTCCCCTATGTCATTACCTTTGGGTGTGGTGACCGCAGGTGGAGAGTTGGACTCAGTGTTGTGCCTGCCGCCGTGGTTGTTTG